GATTCTTTCCTTGTTTCTTTTCAGGATGTCTCCAGTGTAGTGTTAACTTCTGCTTTATAACAAATACTAATGGTTACCCAGACATTTCTCTTATTTCTTTGCTCTCAATTTATCTTCACTTTTTGCCTCTGGCATTTGTTTTCGAATGTATTTAATGTTTGTTCTATGTTTTATTTGGGTACCAGTATGGCTGTCCTGTGGAGGTAAAGACGGCTGGCGTAATGCTGACCACATTACCCACCTAGTGTCTGTAAAAATAAGGGCGCTCGTTCCATATGCCCGATGCGCCTAAGGGCGTGGAAAGGGATATTTTAGTGCTGCAAATAGGCTCCCATACTAACACACATTTCGCTTCTCCGCGTGTGATCATAATGCTTGCTCCTTCCATGGTAAACAATTGTGTAAACAACTCTTGAATCTGCTGTCGGCCACCTATCTTCATTTAACACTAATATGTTGTTATCTCTTTATTCCGTCTGCCATACATGCTAATTTTGTTGCCTTTGCCATAGTCTATAACCGTCATACATGCACTCTTTACACCAGCACTACTTGCCTCGTTTCTTTATCGGAATGGTATCCATTCCCTCCTCCTTCCCACCCCCCTCCCCCACCCTTCTTCTTCTTCTTTTTCTTCTTTTATTTCTTCTTCTTCTTCTTCTTACCCCCTCCGTCCCCTTCTCTTTCTCTATCATTTTCTTTTCTTTTCCACTTTACCTCGGCAAGTGTTGGTAGTATCGGGACGGATGTCGTGAATATGCTGTATAATGAGCTGTGTAAGTTGAGATTCATTTCTCTAAGTTACTTTTAATGCCTTCGGCCAATACTTTCTTGGTTTACCCGTTGCTTTGTGCTCAATATATTTCGTCACAGTGGCTCTCTGTGCTAGTAGATACCGCAGTATGTGTTAGTTGTGTCTAACCTCCTGTACTTTAATGAGCTGTATGACTAGCTCCAGTTTATTTATAATATTAGTTATCAATCAACTTTACAATTCAATCATTACTCACAACAAACACATGCAATCCTACCTTTTAGCAGACGACATGCGAAACGCATTTGCGAAAGGATTATGTTCTATTTTCATCTTAGTAATGTTGTCATTCTGGTACTGTGTGACGGCAACAAAGACAGTTTCCGGCAGTCTGATTCTGATTTTTGAACCGGCTTCTCGATCACAAACAATTAGCACCATCACGTACTTTCTCATGGACTGCAGGACGATCTGAAATAATAGATACACAAGCAAACTTAGCGATCGCTCTTCTATGATAATATTGGGTACTTAATTTATAACTTACCACTGATGTCACGACAACGTCACGGGAGACATTCCCAATAAATTCTAGGGTGTTCAGGTTGTAGTTTCTCGCGATTTATCTACAGTCAAGTTTAGGGTTAGGGTTAGGGTTAGGGTTAGGATTAGAAGACACTAGATGAACACTCAAAAAAAGCACCACACAACAGCACACTTGCACCCCTTGAAATAATGGACTGTCAGGTCAGCTGTGGATTTCCCACGGGGATTTCCTGTTTGGGGTACGTTATAGATTAAGAACCTAATATTGAATGTTGAATTAAGAATCGATATCACAGCACTCGGGATACTTCCTTAACCGCTCCGTCCCTATCTTCTGTAGCAAGCAAAGATTTCCAGTTCCGATGGCACCAGTAACTGTCTGTACACCCGTCTGGCTTTTCCCTTGAGTGTCGAGCGTTGGCCAGATCCCCAGGTGGCTTTCTGCAGCAGAAATCATGCTGAGGAAATTCAGGGCAGGCATGCTTCGTGCAGAGTGGCATGCTTCACTGCGGAGAACACGGATGAGGAGTATTGGTCTGCATTTTTTCACTGGGATACGCCGATGTGTTGGGAAATGAACAGGTGGACAGACTGGCTGGCTCTGCACAACTTGGTGAAATACTGATGCATAAGGCAGACAAGGTTAGTGCCTTGTGGAAGAGCGTGTACAGTTCGGAGAAGCAGCTGTATCACCACAGTCTGGTGAGATTGATGCAGCGGGAAGTAACGAGAGGTTCTGGCAGACGCTCGAGGCTCAGACGAAAGGCAAGACGGGCGTTTAATCAGAATGATATTGGCACAATAGTATCGGAACTCATTATTGGCTGCTGAGGATGGGGACGGGGCTCTTATGGGAATGCCCTGAGTGCTGTGATGTCGGTTCTTGAACAAACTCAACTAAACTATATACAATATTCTTGGCTGCCCCCTGGTCTGCCGTCATTCAGCTCCTTTATGTGCACGTTTTTGCTGCTGTCATCTGCCATTTCAGTCTGTTGGTGGTTAGTGATTAGTGAGGACTATCACCACAGCACTCTAGACAAATCCATAGGGGCTTCGACCTTCTCCTCAGTTGCCCCATAAGAGTAAAACGATTGATAGCTCCCCATTCTGTTTTGATTAATCAGACGCCTTGTGCTCTAGGTGAAAATGTTCGTATCTGGCTACTCCATGTTGCACTCCCATGTCCATCAACCTGGCCAAGGATACTGAGTCCTGCTTGTCGTGATCTTCTCAGCGATATGCAGCTCTAGGAGTAATGAATGAAAATGGAGAATAGTTCACAATTTTTTGTGCAGGTAACCAGTATGTTATTGGTGGAAGTATTTTTCCCCATAAAAGAATACATAAGGCAATATGGGAATCACCAGACCATAAGACAACTAATCAAATTGACCACATATGTATTAACAAAAAGTTTAGATCATCCCTTTACGATGTTAGGGCTTTCAGAGGTGCCGATGTATTTACTGACCATTTCCTGGTGATAAGTAAAATCAAGTTGAAACTAAAAAGATATATAACATCTTATAATCATAGAAACCAATATAATGTAGGCTTTCTCAGAGATAAAGAAATTAAGGAACAGTTCTCAGTTACGGTCTCTAATAAGTACCAGGTGTTGCAGCAGTTAGCTGAAGATGTCAACACAGAAGTCTGCTGGGATCAGATCAAAGGAATCTGGAATGAATCTTGCGTAGAAGTTCTTGGCAAGAAAGAAAGGAAACATAAAGCATGGATAACACCAGAAACCATTAAACTGATTGAAGATAGGAAAAGTAAAAAAGGCAGAATTAAACAATAGCAAAACTAGAGCTGCTAAAGCTAGAGCTCAGAAGAATTACACAGAAGCCAACGAGGAAGTTAGGAGGCATATAAGGGCAGATAAAGTGAAATATCTAAATGATCTAACACAAGAAGCGGAGACAGCAGCAGCAAAAGGAAACCTCAGAGAACTTTACAGTAACACAAGAAAATTAGTAGGTAAATATAGTCAGCCAACTGGATCAATCAAAAATAGTCAAGGAGGAAAGGTACTTACTAACACTAAAGATCAAATGGACAGATGGGTTGAATATTTTGAAATGCTTCTAAATAGACCAGGCCCAGAGGTTCCCCAGATATCCAGCCTTTAGAAATGGAACTGGATATCAACTGTGAGATACCATCCAAAGAGGAAATTAGAAAAGCTATAAATCTTCTTAAGGAAGGAAAGGCGTCAGGCCCAGATGGTATCCCAGGTGAAGCCATCAGGACCAACATTAACACATCAACAGAATTGCTACATAGATTATTCAGTAAAGTCTGGGAGACCGAAGAAATACCAGCAGACTGGAGAGAAGGATATCTTGTGAAACTGCCCAAAAAAGGTGATCTACAGGAGTGTGAAAACTATAGAGGAATTATGTTGCTGTCAGTTCCTGGAAAAATATTAAGTAGAATTATTTTGGAAAGATTAAAAGATGCTATTGATAAAATGCTAAGAGATGAGCAGGCAGGTTTTCGGTCAAACAGATCCTGTACTGATCAGATAGCCACATTACGTATTATAATAGAGCAAAGCATTGAATTGAACTCACCACTTTACATTGGATTTATAGACTATGAAAATTTGACAGCATAGATAGGGAATCTCTCTGGAAATTGATGGGGCACTATGGAATCCCACAGAAAATTATCAACTTAGTAAAGGCAACATATAAAGACATGAAATGTCGAGTTCTTCATGAGGGAAAGCTAACAGATGCATTTGAAATAAAAACAGGTGTGCGACAGGGATGTCTTTTGTCGCCTCTCTTATTTTTACTGGCTATAGACTGGACTATGAAAACAGTAACTGCTCACACCAAGAATGGAATTCAGTGGACCCCTACAAAACAGCTTGATGATCTGGACTTCGCTGATGATATTGCTCTTCTGTCCCATTCACGGAATCAGATGCAAGATAAATTAAATATACTTAATGCGAGATCACAGCAGCTTGGTCTGAAAATCCATAAAGGAAAGACAAAGATAATGAGAATAAATCAGGCAAATAGTAATGTGGTTTCTCTTAATGGCACCCCACTCCAAGACGTGGAGTCGTACACCTATTTGGGCAGTAATGTAGATAAAGATGGAGGAACTGATAGAGATATTAAAATAAGAATACAAAAGGCAAGAGGGGCTTTCAAAGCACTAGGGAATTTGTAGAGGTCAAAAGAAATTAAAATAAATACTAAACTAAAAAATGTTAATTCTAATGTCAAATCAGTACTATTGTATGGGGCGGAAACATGGAGAACAACGAAGGCAATTACTAATAAATTGCAGACATTCATTAACTGGTGCCTGCGCAGAATAGAGGGAATAAAATGGTATGATAGAATAACTAATGTAGAACTTTGGGAGAGAACTAAACAGGCTCCAGTGGATCAGGAGGTGAAGAAAAGACGCTGGCGTTGGATAGGGCACACACTGAGAAAACAGGAGAACAGCATAACTAGAATGTCTTTGCATTGGAACCCACAGGGGCATAGGAATAAAAGAAGGCCAAAAAACACATGGAGAAGAGAGCTGGAGAATGAGGTTAGAAAGATGGGGAGGACACGGGGAGAACTCCATGCAATGGCGAAGGATAGAACGACTTGGCGTGAGTTGGTTGAGGGCCTATGCTCCATTGGGGGATAGAAAGGCAGAAGAAGAATAAATATAGCCTCACCGTTCCAAGAGCGTCTAGATTATTGGAAATCTTCAGCGTGGCAAAGGATACTGGCTCCCTCATCCAGTAATCTCCGGTGTTAGGAGAATGATAGTGCACATAAGCATCTCGCCCTGGTACCGGTGTAGGGTATCGATAAGACCCCTCCTTAGTTGCAACCCATTTGCCGTTGGTATATTTATACACCTGATGAGAGTGAACATGTTCATTAATTTTATGGTACAACAATGTGTGAATATCAAGTAATTAAAAAAAAAAAAAACTATTATTAGGGCCTGTGAGACCTGGACACTTACTAAACAAGCGGAACAGCGCATAAATGTATTTGAATATAAATGTTACAGACAGGTTCTAAGAATATCTTGGGTAAAGAAAAGAACAAATGCATCCATACTTCAAGAGCTGAATATTGAAGAGGGTTGGCTAGTAAAGACAATAAAACAAAGAAAATTGAAATATTTTGGTCACTTGAAACGTCATCGAAGTCTAGAGAGAACATTAATGGAGGGGTATATGCCTGGGAAGAGAGGAAGAGGAAGGCCAAGGAGAAGATGGGTGCAGGATGTGGCAGATGATCTCCAGATGGGTGTATCAGACGCAGGACATCTTGCTCAGGATAGGAAGGTTTTCCGGAGGGTTGTTATGGCAGCGAGGTTCCGCGAGGGACATGCTACTGAATGAATGAATGATTATTAGGGCAGAAGAGATGCAAGAGCGCTGGGTGCTTAAAATCTAAGGAGGGTAAAATATTACTAGAGCACAGTAATATTACTAGGGAGATGCCATGGTGGCGCGGCTAGATGCTCGCTTGCGGATCCGAAGATCGTGGGTTCAAAACCGCATTACTGAGCCGATTTTTTTTAAACATGATATTGACTCCCCGGTCGACCCAATTTTGAATGGGTTCCATGGGAAGTACAGAGGGCCGGCGTGGTGTTGATGACATCACTTATCGAGCCTAGCCTCAAATGCGCCCCTGGCGTCTAAAGGGGTCCTTTACTTTTATAGTAACAGATGGACAGAATTCACAGGGGAAGTGTGTGAAGACAATAGGCTAGATGTAGAATTTCGAGCCAACAGTATAGGCCAACAAATACGGGTTGCAGAAGTTGAGGATACATTACATTACATGAAGAAACGATAGGTCCCTGGGCCAGGTACGCAGCCTCACGTTGGAGGAAATGGAAGCGTTGGAAGATTTTAGAAAAAAAATACTAACAAACATTTGAAATGACATTTATAATAATAAGTATTTTCCTAACAACCTATTTAAATCCACATCCATTGCTTTCCCAAAGAAATCAGATATTAAAATGTGAAGATCATCACACAGTAAAGTCTTGTTAGTCATGTGAGAAAGATGTTACTGAGAATAATTATGAGAAGAATCAGAAACGAGAGTAAACCAGAAATCAGCGAAAAGCAGCAATGTGGAACTATATAGAGAAAGTGTAGAAACAATGTCATTATACGTCTTCAAGTGTCGGACAGAGCCATAGAAGTAATAACTGATCTGTAGTTGACTTTATTGACTTTATGATAGCATCTGACTGCGACGTCAGACATGAGGAACTTATCAAATTATTAGGAAAATAAAATATTGATGGATGAACTGATTCTCAATACAATTGCCTTAAAGAGTAAAAACTTCCTCTTCTACTTTGCGTTCACCGACTGTAAACTCTGGAAGAAAGTTATGGTTGTTCGTCCACCTCTGGACTATAATCTTGCTCCAGAGCCTGCGTTTTGCGTGCGTATCAGACTTATTTGTATGAAGAGTGTTTATTCCTTGCCTCTTTTGCACATGCACTCCGATTTCGAAGGAAACCCCCCAGTTAGACAACACCTACGACATGCTTTTGTGGGGGAGACAGCAGGTCTATTCTTTCTTTCTTTTTTAATCCCTACAACGGGGTCCCGAAATCCACACGAGAAAGTCATAACTTAAAACCCAGTCTTCCTGATAATTCACAAAGTTTACAACAATAACCTCAGCACCAAACTGTTGCATCTATCATCTGTCACACATTGTTCACAGTCTGTTCTTCTATTCCGTTAAATTATGTGATCCTTTTGTTATATTCTATGGAATCCTGTCTAGCACCTTTGATATCTCTCATCAACATTCTTTTTAGGGTGTGTCTTGGATTTTCGTTTCCTCAATCCATCTTTCCCACTGGATTACTAGTTTGATGATGCCCTGCTGGCTTCTTCACATGCTGTAACCAATATGGTGTCATCGACTTTGTGTGATATCTGTTGATACCAGTGTCTGTCCAGACGTTTATCTTATTCCATTACCTTTCGTGAACTGGTCACAACTATAACCAACGGCGATAAAAAGAACCGCATACGTTTTGAGCACAAAGAGACTTCTGGAAAAGCAATGCGATAGAAAAAAGCGCACAATGAACACGGCTTGATGTTAAGCTATCCCATATGATAACCAGAATCACAAATCAGGTCAGTGCTCAATAAATTCGGCCAAGCATACTGGTTTATCTCTTTCTGAATCATGGTACCATGAATATCCTAAACATAACTCCCAGTGTGACGTTGCTAGTCGTGTCTATCTTCTGTCTCACCTAATGACAAGGGTGATCTTCCATGTCATGATGATGAACTATCCAGCATCTTCTCTCTAGGTCTCCCTCTGCCTCTCCTACCTTAACACTCTCCCATCGTCACTACAAACTTCAGTTTTAACTTTCTCGTGACATAACCAACAAAAACAGATTGTCGCTTTTTGCTGTGGACAATCACTTCTTTTCTCTGGATTATATTCTTTTCAAACATCTTCATTACTTTGCAATCTGACATGAGTGTTTCCATAATTCGTCCACAGAACCTCTTTGCACAGCTTCCACGTAATTGTTTCACTAATCGACCAACTGCCTACAATGAAGTGAAATGCTTACACGATTGTTCACAGCGTTCAGCTCCAGAGACAACTCATACAACTTCCCAGGTTCAAGGTCACATATGAAAAATGATGGCACCGGAAACATTCTCCTGTTGGCAGAAATAATATTAGAAGACTAATTGGCTATGTCTGTACATGTAATAAGTCATTTTCTCATTTTTAATGAGCTTAACTACGTAATATAAATTATGTGCCTGAGTTTGGTTGAACTGAATCGATTATGAAGTGTAAGGTATGCAGGAACAGGACCGAGTATTGAATAACTCGAGACAGGTGTGCGAGTTGGCTGAAAATGTGCCAGTTGAGAAATGGCATGAAACATGTGTCGAACGTTCGAGAACTCGAGAAGGAAACTGACTATTTAAACTTGGAATGATCGAGTTGTTTCAGTCTTGTTTTCTACCCTGGGATAGTGATGACTGGTGGCGCTGGAAGAGGAAAAGCCTGAGTGAATCTACAAGCAAGTGCATGTCATCTTGTTCAGCCTGACATCTTGCAATGCTGTCCGTGTGATTGGTTGTAAATGCATTCTGGTGAGATCTTGAAGTGTCTAAGTTTGGAAGCGCTGTATTTGGTCATAATGTGAATGCAACGTTGAATTCGTTGATATATGTGGCCGACCTAGAGTCCCATAGACGTTTATACCCCTTTTGCCTTAACAAAGGAGAACAGTTGTTGAAACCAAAACTGATTAGCGATGTGGCGTTTCCAACGTTTCTGTTTCGTGTTCAAGAGTATGTTGAACTATCTTTTAGTGTTTTTTTTTCGAGAAGGCTGCATGCGATTAGAGCCTGAGAGAATCATTTCAGTACATGACGCGAACATTAGATGGTTGAATATGTGAGTCCCAATGAGGTAAATATTAATTATTAAAAATGTTTAGTTTTTGTTCAGCAGGTTGATATTGATGAAATAATAGAGAAAGAATTAGGATTAAAATCGTACGAGAAAGAGTCCTACAGTACTAACACTTGAGTACACACAAAGGGTGTAAATAAAATTGTTGGAGAGGTTGTTTCGTGACGGCAGACCAAAAACGGCATTAACAAAAATAGAAGAGAGACTAGAGACCGAGATGGACCAAGAACATGGTGATGAGATACAGTGATAACATACAAGGAACTTGTGGAGAGAGGGAGGGAAGGAAGAAACGAAGGAAGGAAAGAAGGAAGGAACGAATAGAAAAGAAAGGAAGAACGAATGAACAATATTTTCAAGATTTGGGCACACAAGCGGTCTTACGTTCTGCCCACTTGACCTCACCCCGTGCATACATTCTCCCACTCATACCTTATTTTAGCGGTGAATTATTATAATAAACAACATCAACAACGTCTTAGTTAAAATGTGCTCGGTGTTTTTTAAGCGATGATTGCAGATACCACAGTTTGAAGAACACCCTCAAGCTCTAGGTGAACATTGTTAACGTCCATGGAAAAAAACTAAGACGTCACCAGCTAACAAGTCATACTTCTTCTTCTTCTCGTTCTTTGCCTACACTGGTCGAAAGCTCTGCTTGTTTATCCACTTATGTACTTCAGTCTTGTTGCAAGACTTCAGTTTTGTTTGGATATCCATTTTACAGATCTGGCTTATTTGTAAGCAGACTGCTCGTTCCTTGACTTTCAGTCAGATGCCTTCCCAAAAAAAAAAAAAAAAAACTAAATAGTCTACTTTTAGAACTCGCTTGTTGAGGGGTAGTGGATCAAACCCCCCCCCCTCCCCCACACACACACATACACAATGGGGTCGCAAACCCACACAGGGAACAAGTCATACAAGAGCCAACACACATAGATGGAACACTACAGCAGTATAGCTGTTGCTGTAGTGCGTCCCTGAAGTCATGTTTTTGCGCTAAAACAAATATCTACAAAACTCCTATAAGGACCAACATGAATTTTTGCATGTTTCCTTAGATTGCCCATATCCTTCAGATTTTATAATTTAGCTACAACGGTGCTGGTTTGAGCGGCCAGTTTCTTTTATCTTTGTTTGACTAATATTTTTTGTACGCTTAAAAAAGAATGTACAGTACTTGGCACGATCAAGTAAAGTGCTGGGAAATGAATTCACATTGCAAAGATGAGTGGTGATTTTTGTTTTGTAAGCCTATTCCGCATACAATGAATGAAACATTTTGTTCATATAACTCACGTGAGGCTAATGCTGGAGATGACAATCTAACATTAAAACGCATATGAAACTCCTGCAATCTGATTGTTGAAAGGTTCCCGTTACTCAATTTACTGTAAACATTCTG